GCAACCGCTCTGTTGACATAAACACGGGGTGTCCAGAGCTTTGGCCAGGTGGGGGGTGGGGGAGGGGACCCAGGGTCTCCCAGAGGTCTAAGACTGAGATCAGGGAAGGCACTAGGCTCACAGCGTGGGCCAAGGTTTTCAATATCCTCCTGTGCAGAACACAACGCTCGGGTTGCCAGGCAGAATGTGCTGTTCCCGGGGGAAAATAATGACACGGTAACTTAGTCACTGCGGTCCTCCATTCTAGCAGTCACTCCCGGCACTGCCTGGCTCCTGTGGTGGGCGTTTTGAGTCTTTGAGGAAAGTGAGCTGATAAGAATCATGCACAAGAAGGTGACTAATAGTGTTCTTTGAAAGGGGTGTTTGCAGGGCCAAAGAACCTACTAGGAGAAAGAGATAAACTGAATCAGCCCTTGAAAGAATTCCGGCGCTTAGAACAGTCAGTGTGTGGAACAGGTGCAGGTGGAGAGGACAGGGATTTCCTGGGTGCTCCTGTGGGCAGATAATTCCTGTGTGGGCTGGGGGATCTTGGAGCTATAGACAGTAGAGGGACGGAAGAGGCTGAAAAGATAGCACTGAGGCAACTGTTATGACAGAGAGCCTGTCCTGGTTTGCACACTAGCAGAATGTGCCTAAGTGGGTGAGGGTCCTTGAGAGCTTGTGGGGAGAGAAGGGGCTTCGAGGGACTCTACTGAGCATGAAAGAGGGAGGTCCAGATCTGAGGGGGTCCCGACCAGAGCCAGTCTTTGTGTGGGTCAGTAACTTGCCTGCCACTAAAGGGGATCAGCAATCAGTCCTTAAAACAAGAGGCCTTGTCCTTGTTTTCCAGAACTACAAGAAGGTGGAGGACTCTGAAACTCAGCTTGGGGTGCCGGGGAATTCCAGGGAATTGGATGGATGTGGCTACCACAAAGGAAGACTTTGGAGCCCTGGCCCACGCCTGGCAACACTCCGGAGGCCTTCAACTTCCTTCCACCAGGGCATCATCTCTACCTGCCCATGGGGAGGAGGGGCTGGGGATGCCTGCACTCTGCTCCCTCCCAGCCCAGTGGACCAAAACTTTGTCTACTCTCAGTCTCCCCACCTCACCTCGCCCCTGTGTGGCTCTACTCTGCACACTTGGCAAAGGGAGGAAGGATGCAGGGTTCCAGGGAGGGAAGGAGGGACTAAGATCCAGCAGAAAGAGACGTACCACCTACTGGGGGTGCTATGTTATCTGCCGCAGCTCCCAACCTCTGCACACACTAGTGTAGGGAGCACTGCACAGCCTTTGAGGAGCTCATCTCCCCCTCCCTGCCACTCTCCACCCAGTGAATCATATTCACATGCCATGTGCTCGCTCAGAGGCAAATGGAAAACTACCACAGAAAGACAGAGAAGCACACACACATGACTGCGGTGGTGGGATCCCAGGACACATGTCGCAGAGATAGGAGGCAGCTCTGACTGAATTACCTGAATTAGGTATTATTAATTATTTAATAATTAATTAATTATTATCTGAATTACCTAGAGCTAATTCCAGATACCTAGGAGGGGCCCAGGGCAGTGTGTGTTCCAGGTGTGGTTAAGAACCGGTGGGGTGGGCACCTGGGTGGCTCAGTGGGTTAGGCCACTGCCTTCGGCTCGGGTCATGATCTCAGGGTCCTGGGATCGAGTTCCGCATTGGGCTCTCTGCTCAGCAGAGAGCCTGCTTCCCTTCCTCTCTCTCTGTCTGCCTCTCTGCCTACTTGTGATCTCTCTCTGTCAAATAAATAAATAAAATCTTAAAAAAAAAAAAAAAAAAGAACCAGTGGGGTAAGAATAAGGGCTTCAGGCAGATTGGGAGACTGGGGGACTAAAGGCTCCCACCCAGGAACCAAAGAGCAGTGCAAAAGGGAGTTTTTCTTTTTCTTTTTTTTTTTTTTTAAGATTTTATTTATTCATCCATTTGAGAAAGAGACAGAGAGAGAGAGGGAAAATGTTCACAGGCATGTGATGGGGGAGGGGCAGAGGGAGAGAGACAAGCAGACTCCTCACTGATCACAGAGCCCAACTTGGGGCTCAGTCTCACGACCTTGAGATCATGAACTGAGCTGAAATCAAGAGTCAGGCATTTAACCGACCGAACCGCCAGGTACCCCTACAGAAGGGAATTTTAAGGATGACTCTGGGGACAGAGGGTGAGAGTTTGTGGTTGGAATCCTGCCCTTTCTGGCTGTTTCTGTTCAAAGCCAGGAAGCCCCTTGGTTTGGCTCAACCCTATCAGGCAGTCTTGTTATTCCGGGGCTTGGGAAACTGCCCAAATCAAGCTTTGTTCTAGGGCCAAGTGTCCAGAACTAGAGGTATCTGGATGCCTGGGTCTGTGGATCAGCTTGCACTGGGGAGGGCAAAGTCGTGCAGTGGGCTTGGGCAGACTCTCCTCTTCTTAGAGCATCAGTTAAACTTCTAGAATTAGCTGGAGACACCAATAAAATTCGGAGCGGCTATTTATACTGCCTCTATGAGATGATGACGACAACAACAATGACAAATAACTCTGGGGTGTTGACTTGTCTAAGGTCACCCTGTAATAGTGGAGCAAGACGAGGACCTGTGCAGTGCGGTGGCTCCGAGCCCACCCTCGATCGGTATTTATGGATTATGCTTCTACGTTTAAACAGCTACACATATAAATGAAGTTATAAATACAACTGAAAGCAGTTTTAGAAAATTTGATTGAGGTGAAGACAAAATCCACCTGAATTTGGAACATAAAAAGCGAGTCATTTTCTGCATGTGACACTGGTCAGGCTGGCCGTCAGACCTGGGGAGGAGGTCACTCACTCTCCTGGCTCTTAGGAAGGGAGGGAGATACAGCTGGGGGTCTTGGAGCAAGGTGGGTCTCCAACAAGGGGCCTCTGGGTTCTCCTCCTAGAACAGCTAACAGGTGTTAAGCACTTCCTCTGTGCCAGACCTCATTTTACTCATTATCTCATCTCTTCCCAACAATTCTAGGGGATGGGCGGGGCGGGGGGGGCCCATGGCACAGATGAGAAAAATGAAGCACAGGCAGTGAAGTCAGTTGCACTGGGTTCCCCGGTAGTAAATGACAGTCTGTACCAAGCCCAGGCTGGCTCTTCTCCGGAGCCAGAATTGCAAACCACTGACTGTACTGTATGGCCTTCCTTCCCCAAGATGATCTGATTCCGTCTCATAGAGGCAGATGATCTGGGTTTGGAGCAGGGCTGGAGTCCAGGCCTTTGACAACTGCCCCAGGAAGTCACTGGGCCACACTTTGAGAACCAGGCTGGTAGCTGTCTCAACCAGGCTGAACATTAGAACCACCTGAGAAGTTTCAAGAACTTTCCAGAACAAACGCAGACTTTTTCAATGGCTCCAGACTCGTCTGTAGGTGTTGGTGGGGTACTGGTCAGCATTTTCTTTTAATGGGACCAAGTGTTCATTTTTTCCTGCCCATAAAGATACCTGAAGACCTGCTCTGTGCTGTGGGATGCGGAGGTGGGGGTCCCTGACTTGCCTGGCTGGGCAGAGTATCCTTTTAGAGTCAGGGAGGATGCAGAGTCCTTCTTTCTTGTCCTCCTTTGGTGAGCTCCAGAAAGAACCAGTCTCCTTGAATGATGATCTCCTTCTGGCTTCTCCCCTGTCTGGTCCTTGGCCCTCACCTGAGAGGTCAGAGCTGGTTCTTCAGCCAGAACTCAGCTCACAAAATGTACAGGTTGTGGAAGTGAAAAGAGCCCCAAGAGACCAGCCATACCTGGAGCTCTCAAATTTTAGTAAGAGCTCACACAAGTGCTGGGAGCTTGTTCAATCCAAAGATCTACCCCAAAAGTTCTGATTCTTAGGTCACAGGTGGGGTCTAAGGAACATGCATTTGTAATAAGCTCCCCAGTGGCTCTGTTGGCAGGGGTTCCCAGCTGGGCTGCTGGAGGCCCTGGGGAGTTGTAAGAGCACTGATGCCCAACTCCATCCCTAGAGAGTGGTCAATATTTTTAAAAGCTCCTGGGCAGGGTGTCTGGGCCTTTTAGCGACCTTGTTTGGGATCTGGGGGTGGGCAGTCCCAAGGGCAGTCACTGCTACCCTTGCTATCACCAGGGCCTTGAAACAAGAGGAGAAGAAAACAATAGGAGAGAAGAAACTAAAATAAAGAAACCAATGAGAAGATGTAGAAAGAGAGAAGTCTGAAATCACTTAGCAGCACTGAGGTGTTCATCTCTTTTTCTCAATGTTTTCTCTTATTGTAATAGTCATTAATGGATTTAAAATAATTAATAGTAAAAAAGAATATGAAAACAAAAATTAAAAATGGGCTATAATCCTCTTTATCAGTGATAATCGCATAAGGTCTTAATATGACATATAGAAAGTACATGAGAATAAGATATTGTATAACCATAGTATAATATTATTATAATAACTATGATATGCTATGGTATATATTATACACATTATATTATTGTTATTAATATATATTAATTAAAATCTAATGAAATAACATTAAACTACTCTAAAATAAAATATTATATAAACCTGACATAATTTGCATCTTTTTTTTTTTAACTTTATCTACTTTTGTGTTTTGCTTTTATACCACTTTTCAAAATGACTTTGTGTTCCAGGTAACTGAAATCTGAGTCCTAAATATCTCGGCCCTATCAGGAGGGGGAGCGGAGACGGTACGCCCACCCTCCCCTCGCTGTGCACTTGCCTTCCTGCTAGCATTGACCGACATGGACTCCCACACATGCGCAGACGCGTCTACCCCTGCAACGCTGCTCTCGACTTCGTCTTCCCAGATACGCCCTTCGCATCATACCCTCAAATTTTGTAAAGGATTTTATTAATGGGTATTTCTAAATTACCTTATCAATACAGAATTAGTTAATTTATACTAAGTATAAAATAAGTTTCCCCTCTCCCGTTTCTGAAATGGAAAGGAAATTGGCACCAGGGGACCCAGGACAGTGACCACCCTGGGCTGAGTCATCTTCAGGGATGCATCAAACCTGGCCCCCCGTCCTCTCCCTTCCTCCTCCAAATAGCCCCACAACCCTGCCTGCGTTCTCTTCTACCCTACCCTGGCCATCCTCCCTCCACACCCGCCTCAGTCGTTCTTCTCCCCCATGGGCTGAGGCTGATGGTCTGGACAGAGGCTGTCCCTCCACAGGCGGTAGGCGATGGAAGCGGTCACGGTGAGCCAGGCCAGGTAAGGCAGCAGGAGCAGGGCGGCCAGCTTGTTGATGGGGTGCCAGATCAGCGCTGTACTCACCACCAGTCCATAGAGCAGCAGCAGGTGCAGCAGGGCCTGGACGGGGGAGGGGCGGGGATGCAGGGCAGTCAGGTAGGTTGCTCTGAGCACTGAGCCCTCCGCCTTTCTGCAGCACCCTGGATCCAGTGAGCCAAGTTGCTGAGGTCTGGGCACTCAACCAGAGCTCAGAGAAGTCTGCCCACCCGTTAACCTGCTTGCACTCGATTGGTCTACTGTGTTATCTGCTCTGGGGGCCACGGGTGTTCGCACCTGTTCCTACACTACTTCCACTGCATGCCTTACCAGACCATGGGTGTGGGCTCCGAAAAAGAGAATCAGGGCAGCCCAGCTGACAGCGAGCTTCACAGCATAGAGGCCGAGAGGCAGGGCCAGGGGCCGCCCGAAGCCCCCTCCTAGGTCCTTCCACACCAGGTAGGAGGCATAGCTGTGGAGAGATGGTGGCAGAACACTCAGAAGGAGGGAGGACTCTTGGTTACCAAAAGGAAGTCCTGTGGGCTGAAGTGGGAGCAGGCATGTCTAAGCATCCCTTGAGGGCCAGCCGGAGGTGGTGGGAGGAGCCGGGTACGCAAGGTGAGGTGGGGGAGGCCATGGGGAAACTCGGAGAGGGGGAGGAACTAGGCTGTCTGGAGTCCTAGTCAGGTGCAGAGGGGACTCCCCCCTCCCCCAAGAGGCAGGATGGCATGCCGTCCTTGTGAAGTCCAGAATGCAGTAGTAGTTCAGGGGTGCAGGGCCTTGTTCCCATCTTCACAGGTATCAGGGCCAAGGCAGGAGAAATGGGTGCTCACCCCATGACAAAGTAGATGGTTATCCACCCTGCCAGCAAGACTTTGTGAGGCGGGCACCAGGGAGGTTTCTTTGGGCTGTCGTCCCAACCAGACGTCTGATGACGGGTGAGCAGCCAGAGCAGGACGGGCCCCAGGTGGGGAAGGGCCAAAAAGATGGCACCGTGAGGCTGCATTCCCCTCACAGATGCAAAATCTAAGAAGGCAGACAACATGCTGCTGGTGGGCCTCCCTCCTAGTCCTTTCCCCACGCCTGCTTGACTGTCTCCACCTGCTACCTGACACTGTACTGTGGCCTGAGCCCCTCCTGGGAGGTCTGGTAAGAGATGCCATTCTCCCCACCTTGGCCCAGCTCCCATCCTGCACTTGCTAGCCCATACTGCCTTGCTCTTTCTCTGGCACTCAGAAAATACTGTCCGGTATTGATAACTACTTCTGAGTGCAAGGCTCCTTCCCTCTCCTGTGTATCTGACTCCTAGAGTTCAGGTCCAAGTATGACGGTCTTTTCTGCCTCCCGTAGTGGCTGGCGGGTACACAGCAGGCCCTTGACAGGGACACTGCCTTACGCTGAACTCAGCCAAGCTGATATAACCTGCCTGGAAGGACTAGAGAGGCAGGATCCAGAGATTCCCTGGGGGTCTTTTCTAGTCAAAAATGGGGCAGCCCCAGGCACCTGGGTGGCTCAGTGGGTTAAGCCTCTGCCTTCAGTTCAGGTCATGGTCCTGGGGTCTTGGGATCGGGCCTCGCATTGGGCTCTCTGCTCGGCAGGGAGCCTGCTTCCCCCTCTCTCTCTGCCTGCCTCTCTGCCTACTTGTGATCTCTGTCTGTCAAATAAATAAATAAAATCTTAAAAAAAAAAAAAAATGGGGCAGCCCATGGGCCCCCAGGCTTATCTCCATACACCAGACTGGCAGACCCAAGAGGCCCACAGCAGCCTGAGCTGCTGCCCTATTTGAACTTAGCTGAATGACACTGGGTTCCTTTCTCTGAAACGTTAGGTCTCACCAGTCCCTCGGGGGCTGGCGAGGTCCCTCTTCCACCTCTCCACTTCTGGAGGGACTGAGCCCATGACACAAGTGCTCAGCTTTCTTGTGGCCTGACTTCTCAAGGAAGCAACTGCCTGGTCTTTGATTAAGAAGCTGCCACATTCATTTGCATGTGGAACAAGACACAGACCCTCCTCCAGCCAAGGCCCCCCAGCCCCCACATGGTATCATTCTCATTTGTACATGGTACTTCAGCCCCCTCCCATGACTGCCGGGACTGCAAGGAAGACAGATGTGGTGATTCTCAGTGTCCTGGAGTGACTGTCTACTTCATCCTTTCCTGCCCAGGGCCCCTGTCCGTCCTGGAGGTTCCACGGACAGGGCTCCCTGGCCTACCTGCCCTTGTGTCTCTCTACTTCTCTGCCTCTCACTGGCCATTCGCTCATCTCCAGACTTCTTGTCTCTCTTTCTGTTGTTATGCTCAGTGTTGAAGGCTCCTCCCGCACCCACACCCTATTTTCTCCTGTTTTCCACACTCTGCTGCTGCCTCCTTATTCCCAGGCCTGCGTTCCTCTTACCTCAAGCAGCATACCTCCCAGGATGAATCCCCGACGATATCCGTTTTGTGCAAAGCAGAAGAGGGTGGGGGACCAGGAGAAGGGCGGAGTGAGGCTCCCATCTGGCCTGTCTTTCTCCAATGACAAGGGGGCAGCACTGGCATGTCTCCATGGCCATGAAGGGTTCCTTTTAGGAGAGGTCCCCTGGTTTGTTGGTCCTGGCCTCTGGAGGACTTGTTAGAAAGATCGAGGCTTCGGCACTGTGAGAGCCTGATCCCCTGGGCTGGCTCAGCCCCAGGCCACAAGCCTACCGAAGCTGGTGGCCTCCACATCCCGTGAACTGGCTTGTGTCCACGGGGGTATTGGGGACCCTCAGATTTCCCCAGGATCTTCCTGTAACAGGGGTTACCCCCCAAGTGAAGTAAGTGCCAGCAGCTTGGAAATGAGTTCATGATACATGGACGCAGCCTCTGGTTATAGCCCAGTTGGCATGCTCCTTCCCGGCTTGGAACTCGAGTTTGACAGATTTTCACAAACCCCTATAACTTCATGACTCAGAGGAGAAAGCAGCCTCCTGTGTGACTCACACAGAGCCTTGTCCAGCAAAGACTAACACCCGCCCTTTCTGTCCCTATAAAAGTTCTGAACAGGGGCACCTGGGTGGCTCAGTGGGTTGAGCCTCTGCCTTCGGCTCAGGCCATGATCTTGGGGTCCTGGGATTGAGCCCCGCATTGGGCTCTCTGCTCAGCAGGGAGCCTGCTTCCCCCTCTCTCTCTGCCTGCTGCTCTGCCTACTTGTGATCTCTCTTTTCTCTTAAATCTTAAAAAAAATCTCTAAAATCCTAAAAAAACAAACAAACTTCTGAACACCTCTCCCTTGCTCGTCCTTTACTCTTGAGGTCCCCTTCCCAGGCTGGCGGCCCTCCATCATTCCTTTGCCCCATCTCTCCGCTTTGGGGACTCAGTTAGCCCTGGGAATTTATCCCATCCTTTGGCTTCTACCCTGGGGAAGGCAGCAGAGGGGAGGAGGTTGCAGTCAGGGACAAGAGGCTGAGCAATCATTAACTGAGATGAAAGCAGGGGCAGTTACTTATGTTCTATGAGATGATTGATACCTGGGGGTCTGGGGAGTTCACCTCGGTCCTCGACAGCAGGAGGCCAGCCCACGGGGCCCACCGTGACAACAGTTACCACTTAACTGGGCATCTACTTTGTGGCGAGCATTTTACAGTTATTAGCTCAATAACGACCATGCTTATCCCTCACGCGGTAGATCATATTATCTGCATTTGTCAGACAAGGGAAGGGAGGCTCAGAGGGGTCGAGTAACTTGCCTGAGCGTACTCAGCCAATGGATGAGTCGCCTGTGTTCAGTGTCTGTAGTCTGGGGCCAGAACACATCCTCTTTTCTCTGAGTGGGTCCACGCATTCATTCAACAAGTCTTTATTCAATACCTGCTATGGACCAGGCTGTATCAGGAGCTAAGAGTACAGCAGCAAACAGTTGGGGAAAAAAATCCATCTTCACGGGGATCTTTCATTCCACTGGCACTTTCTGAGGCAGAATTTCTATGAAAGGACTCAGGCTGGCAAACAGCCCAAAGTCTGCTCTCCCCCAAGTTCAGGGCTCCTGCCAACGTTGCTGCACACTGCACACGGGCAGGAAGCAGATAGGGGAACACCCCAATGCTGCCAGCACCTTGTGAGTCATTAACCCTCTCAGTGCCTCCTCTCATCTCTGTGCAGGAAAGGGTGCAACCAGACATTGTCTAAGCTCCTGGACCAGCTGCACTGGCATCAGCTGGGAGCTTCTTAGAGATGCAGAATCTCAGGCCTCAGCTCAGACATATATGGGATCAGAACCCCCCTTTCCATCCTGTCCTTCGTGTGTTTTGTGTGCATGCTGTTGTTGAGAAGCTCCTGTCAGGGCTCCCTCCTCTTACCTTCTGCCCTTTCCCTAGCCTCTGGTGGGAGCAGCTACTCACCAGCAGAGGGCACTGTAGGGAGGGGTTCACCTGTCCCCAGGTTTTCTCTTTCGCTGTCCCCTCCCTTCCAGACTCAGACTGACTTCTGGGATCCTCAGCTACTCCTCCAGCTCGGCTGGACTTTGCCAATAGATAGGGACAGACTCCTTTACCCCTCTTTAGGGCTCTGGGAGGCAGGTCATTGCCGGGAAGCTCCGCCCGGATTCCCCGCCCACCTCTCCTTGTCTGCTGGCCCGGTGACCTGGTCTGGCTGATTTCCCAGAGAAGGAACTGCTGTTCCTGGGCAAGCCAACAGCCTCTGGGAGCACCTACACGGTAAGGTGAACACACCCTGGGGCAGCCGGGGGCAGGGTGGGCATTGCAATGGGGCCACCTGGGGCTCAATGAGGCCAGCTTAGCCAGAGTGTGGAGAGCCTCTGCTAGAGGAGAAGAGGGCAGGGGCAAGTGCTCAGTGGGCGTGAGGATCTGGGAGCCTGTTGTATGCACTATGGAAATGTGGACTATGCTGATGAACGCTGCCCATGGCAGGTTTGGACTCATCCGTCTGGTACTTTTTATGTGTTTCAGTAATGAGCTGGCAGGGTTTGAGTAGGCATGGTAAGAACCAGTGATGGGGGACAAGGGTTGAGAGCTACCTCAAAGGACATGAGCAGAGTGTTACAGCAGGAATCCAGATCTTTGTGCTGGAGGAGGCAACTTCCGAGGGACAAGTGATGTCAGCATTCTAAAGCACCGTTGTCTTGGGGACCTGCTACCCATGATAGTCTGGGGTCAGGGGCAAGGCAGACTGGAGCCATGGGTAGTAAGGAGGCAGGCATGGGTTTGAAAAGGTCTAGGCTACATTTATCTGGTTGGCCTGCTGTAGATTCAGGACCCTTCCTCCTCCTAGGGTTAAGGGGAGGATGGAGTGAGGGCCAAGCAGCTTGGAGATCTGCCAGCCTGGGAGAAAGGGGGCCTAGCTGGGGGAGAGTTAATGAATGGGCTGCCCATGAGAGGCCCCTTGGGGCCTTGGGGAGTAATATGCCAACTGTTTCAGGTTGGGAAGCTGGGCAGGGAGACTCTGCTGCGCCATCCAATGGGGTGGAGGGGATTTGGACTCTGGTCTTTGGAGGCCCCAGGAAGGTTGTTGCTCCAGAAACAGCGGAGTCCCTCCTTTCTTTCATGTTAACTAGCCATCGGTGCCTTTGTGGGCAAGGGGAGGGGTTTGTCCCGCACCGTGGAACCAAGGATGTGCCTTTTGGGTCTTTCCATTTATTTTTACTTTATTTTTGTTTCTTTCTCTTTCAACTTCACTTCCTCTAGAAGTGGAAAGGAAGAAAGACCCATGGGGGAAAAGGGGGCAGAGAGAGAAAGGTAATGTTTCTGAAACACAGTCATCATCTCTGTTCATCCTTCCCTCTGCCTTCAGTTGTAGCTTAATAATCTCCCATACGCCTCCATGGTGAGGAGAAAACTTGGCTTCCTTATCTGGGAAACGGAGGTAAAAACAACACCCAACTCACAAGGCTACTCTGAGGATCAAATGAGATGGGCCACATAGAGTGCTCCAACACAGTGGCATGGGGTAGAGCTCCATGAATGATAACCAGTATTACTGCAGTTATAATCCCAATTATTTTTCATGTTGGAGGACCTTTTGGAGTGGCTGCAGCGTGAAGGGGAGCTGGCTGCTCCAGCCCCCTTTTCCACCGGATGTGGGGCCTTGCCATCTCACCCACTTCACTCATGTGCCCTGCCAGGGCCTTTGGCTGAAGCAAGATGCTGCAGTGTGTCCGCAGGGTTGCACTGAAAGGCAAAGGGAGTAATGCCAAACCTTCCTTTCTGTCTACATTTTCAATGGGGACCGGGTAAGGGTGGGGGGAATAGATCCTGCCGCAGTCCTTAATCCTGATGCTACAGAGGAGTTTCTGCCCCTTTCTGGGAGGACCCAAGGAAAGGGGCTTGGGTTTCGTGGGCCCTAAGGAAGGAAGGAAGGAAGGAAGAAGGTGGGCATGGAAGGACCTGGAAGCTTGAGGAGAGGCCTCAGCTCTGGGTTGGGGTGTGAGCGAAGGGAGTGGGGAGGAACGGATGCCAGAAACCTCTCTCTAGTGCAGATCCCAGTGAATTAACCATGGGGATCTCCAGGATTTTGAAAGAGGCTATGATGCCACCCAGAACTCGGTTACAGAGCAAATGAATCATATTCCCTCAGGAGCTTCCTGAGACATCATCTTTATCCCACAGTTCGAGGTACACAGCTGGTGCTCAGGAAATGTGACAGTATAGAGTCAAGGGTCCTTCTGTAAGGTGGGATGGCCATGGAGAGAAACTTGGGAGGGGTGAGCATGTCAAGGGCTGGTGAACCACAGGGAGGCGCTGTAGAGCGGGAGGGGGTCCAGGTGGTTAGGTGAGGCAGATGGGGAGAACAGCTGGAGCAGAGGCCAGAGGCTGGAATTAGGCGGGTGTGAGGACCCCAGCCTGGCCCGAGTGTAGGGTGTTGGAGATTCAGGGAGAATGAGGGCAGTAGGCTCTAGAGGGCCTCAGGAAGGTCTGGCAACCATATGGGGAAGCTGCTGGAAGGGCCAGGTTCCAATCTGAGGCCCCCGCTGGTAACCAGGTGGGCAGGCAGTCAGCGCCTGCCTTTGCCCAGCCTCACTGGAGAAAACTTTGGTTTTCTTTCTCGTTTTGCTTCCATGTCTAAGTGTGTTACTCTTTCTAGTTCACAGGTCCCTGTGAGCTACCTTCTGACCTTTCTGACAATAGGTGGGGCCTAAACAAACAGATTTGGGCAGGGCTTTATCATCTGCAGATGCTTTCCCCATGATCTCATGCCATCCTCACAATCACCCTGAGTGGTAATTATTGTTTAACTTTTGGTAGCTTTTCAAAAGAATTACAAAGTTAATATAAAATACATGCCTGGGGTGAAAAAATTCAAATTCAGGAAAAAGAGTTTAAGAAAATTGAAAGTCCTAGTTCACACCTTCCACCCTCTTAATTTCCTGTCTGTTTCAGTAGTGACTGGGGGGAATAGCATGGGGTGAGTCCTCTCAGACCTGCATTGCTCCAGACAGGAATCACTAATAGGTCCCAACTGCCATGCACTGTGAGTGTAAAATACACATGGATTTCAAAGGCTTAGTGGGAAAACAGAATGTAAAATATCTCAGTAATTTTACATTGATTTCCTCCCAAGTGATATTTTGAATATATTGGGGTAGGTACATAAAATATATTATTAAAATTAATTCCTCCTATTTCTTTTGACCTTTTTATTATGGCCATTAGAAAGTTTAAAATTGCATTTGTGGCTTACATTTTATATATATTACATATAATAAATATATATTTACATATGTATAAAAATATATATATTACATACAAATGTATATATTTAGAGATTTATATATGGAAGGTTATATATATGTGTGTCTGTATACATATATATATAAAAATTTTATCTATTTTAGAGAAAGAGTGATGGGGAAGGAGCAGAGGGAGAGGCAGAGAATCCCAAGCAGACTCTCCATTGAGCATGGAGCCAACCCAGGGCTCGATTTTGTGACCCATGAGATCATGACCTGAGCCAAAATCATGAGCTGGATGCTTAACGGATTGAGCCACCTGGGCAACCCAACTTACATTATATTTTTACAGCATAGTACTGTTCGAGAACTTTCTCTGTGGTTGGCATGTATAGATCCGTAAATATGTATCTATACTTGTCTACAGTTCTGCTAGTTACATTAATGGGGTTGGAGGATGTCTAGTTCTCTGTAACTTGCTATTCCACTTAAAGATTTTTCTGTGAAGATCAAGAGCAGTATTCCGACAGATGCAGAAACTGAGGGACAGTAAGCAATAGGACACATTTGCTCAGCCAGTGGCCAAGGTGGCACTTGAATTTACACCCTCCTCACGGGAGTTAAATGTGATGTACTAGGCCATGGGGAGCCATGGCAGATTCTTGAGTCAGACAGAGATAGGGGAAGTTTTGATAAAGGTATTAATCGAGGATGCACTGGAATGAAGACGATTGGCTCCCTCACGGCCGCTGGCTGGAAGCTAAGCCTTGGCCTCCAGGACATTGAAAAGGCTTACCTGGCACTGCCTCTTTCCTCCTCCAGGTCCTTGGCCTTGGCTGGCCCAGGGGTGCAGGGGAACTGGCAGCATCGAGGGACCACGCGGATGTGCTCTGATGAGAGTGCCTTCCAACCGGCCCGGTTCCTACTGCTGGTGGGTGTCCCGGTGGCGAGTGCCCTCCTTCTGGTCCAGTGCCTTCGATGGCACTGTCCTCGCTGGCTGCTGGGGACCTGCTGGAAGCTGGATAGCCAAGAGGATCCAATGGCCCATCCCACTCCCTTACCGGAAAATGAGTCCTCAAGGCAGTGTGCCCCGGCCACACTGCCAGAGATGGCCGCCTTCTACCAGGAACTGCACACACCCACTCAAGGCCAGACCATCATCCGTCAGCTGATGCACAAGTTGTTGGTGTTCTCAGCTCGAGAGGTGGATCACCGTGGTGGCTGCCTGATGCTCCAGGATATGGGCATCTCTCTGCTCATCCCACCAGGTAACAGCACCTTCTCCCTTCTCAGCCTAGAGTTGTTCCTTGTGTGTTGCACAAGGGTGTCATGCCACAGGGAGCATCATTCGTAGACATCTCCATAATTTTGAAAATTATTTATATTTTTATGACTTCATTGACTCCAAAGATGGATAGATTGCATATTTTTGTGACAACTCCCTGACAGGAAATCAAGTGCCAGGTGGAAATGAACAGTGTGTTATGACAATTCTCAGTAATGGAAAGTGTCTGGAGCAAGAGCACCTCTTGCAAATTCCCACTAGTCCCGTAAGGGCTAGTGGTGGCCCAGGAGTGAAGGGAGGGTGACCTGCTCAGGATTACGCCACAAGTCAGCTCAGTTTTTCTCTCCTTGCACACTGCTTCCCCATGTGCCCTGCTAGGCAATCTTTCTCCTGGGCTCCTGTCCCACCTCCCCTCCCAGTGTGGCCTGGCCTCACTGGGGTTGGGTGAGCCTGCCTGTCTGGCCCATCTCAACTCTTGTTCTCCCCAGGAGCTGTGGCTGTGGGCCGCCAGGAGAGGGTGTCCCTGATCCTGCTGTGGGACTTGCTGGACGCCCCATCACTGTCCCGAGCCCAGGGGCTGGTGAGCCCTGTGGTGGCGTGTGGCCCCCATGGGGCCTCCTTCCTGAAGCCCTGCACCCTCACATTTAAGCACTGTGCCCAGGAGCCCAGCCATGCTCGTACCTACAGCAGCAACACAACCCTGCTTGATACCAAGGCCTGGAGGCCCCTGGGGCGGCCTGGGGCCCACACCTCCAGGGACGAGTGTTGTATCCAGCTCTCCCACTTCAGGTAGGCCCATCGGCCCAGTTTTCCTGCCCGTTGTCTCGGTTGGCCTCATCCTCCACTTTCTGTCTGGAACTGCCCCTTGATCTGTCCCAGACGGCCTGCAAACCCCTTCACTCTCCGTGGCCCTTCCTGTTCCCTCTGTCCTAGTGTGTAGGGCAGCTTGTCCCACTCCAGCCCTGTCCAGGACTGTGCCCCCTGTGGCAGGCTCTCTGCCCGTCTACACCTACCACCCCAGTCCTCCATCTAGAAGGGTCTGTCCCATTCCCACCTTTGTCTCTCTAAACTTGTCTGTGTCTACCCTATGTCCCTGTTCAGGACCATCTAGGGCTAGGGCAGGCTGTCCCCTCCAGTTCTCCAAGACCCCCTCCCATCTCATGTCTGCTCTTAGCTCTGTCTTTCCAGGATCTTAGGTCCTTCTGTCTCTCTTTCCCACTGAGCACGACAGGGCCAGCCGTGTGTAGGACCACGCTGAATCACAGTGGCCCTGAGCCCACCTTCCCTCCCTCCCACGCGGGAGGAGTCTTGCTGGCCCTTCCCCCACTCTGTGATGGTCACTTCAATGTGACTCGCATTTTGTCCCCCTACCTGCCTGACTCCCCCTCACTTCCCCCCTTGACTGCGCTCCTTAGCTCCTAGCGCTTTAGGAGCCAGCTGGCAGGTGCATGGGGCCCCCAGTTCCCCAGTCCCCATCTTTCCCTGCAGTCTCTACACCTGTGTGCTGGAGGCGCCTGTGGGCCGGGACGCCCACAAATGGCTGCAGCTGGCTGTCTTCTGCTCACCGCTGGCGCCAGGGCAGTCCCACCTGCAGCTGCGCATCTACTTTCTCAACAACACACCCTGTGCCCTGCAGTGGGCCGTGACCAATGAGCAGCCCCACGGGGGGCGCCTGCGTGGGCCCTGCCAGCTCTTCGACTTCACAGGGGCCCGCGGGGACCAGTGCCTGAAGCTCAAGTACATCTCTGAGGGTGAGTGAGATGGGGGCCTGGGCTGCAGGGGCCCTACTAGAGGGAGAGGGTAGAAACCTGGGAACCTCGAGTTTCTTTTGGCTTCCAAAAGAGGGGGTTCCAAGGGGATCTCTGGCTTCTGTGGCTGCCTGCGGGAGCCCCGGGCTCTGTCCACTTCCTTCCTCTGTGGTCCATTTGGTCCTGGCCCCTCCGTGGAAGGACAGGATGATGCAGGGGCAAGGGGAGCGGAGGCCTTTATTGCCTCCCCTGGCTGGGGCTAGTTCTGAGGAGGGGTCCCAGTCTTCTCTGCCCCCCCCCCTTCCTTTGTGGCATAGGCTGCTGCACTTGCTTACGGGGCCGAGGACATCTGTGTGGTTCGTAGACAGAGCCCAGATGCATGGCTGCTTCTGCGGGTCGTGGATGGGAGGTGGGAGGCCTGTGTGCTGTGTGTGTGGGAGATGTGCGGTAGTAAGAGAAGGCTGCTCACAGGGTCCCTGTCCAGGCTCTGAGGACTCACATCCACTTGAGACACCTTCCTGCTTTCGCTCCCGCCTCATGCCTCCCCACTGCACCCTGCATGACTCCTGCTGCAGAGTAGGCATCCTCAAACACTCGTGGAAGACCCCACTTTCTGAGGTCCTCCACTCTGCCTCCTCTCCAGGTTGGGAGAATGTGGATGAGAGCAGTTGCCAGCTGGTTCCCCATCTCCACATCTGGCATGGAAAGTGCCCCTTCCGTTCCTTCTGCTTCCGGAGAAAAGCAGGTAGTCCAGAAGACCCGGTCCACCTCCTCCCCTCTCCTTCTTCCCAAGCCCGCACCTCCCCCCACCGCCCTGCAGCTCCTTATTTGGTTAGGCATGCATGCACACCTTCTCTAAAAGGTGAGGAGTCACAACTGATCTTAGTAGAGAGCAAGATAGAGCATCTTGCCCAGTGCCTTCAGATTTTGAAAGCCTGTCTGTGGAGTCCCTTTCACTTCTCCTGCTCCCTTATGTCAGGCTTTGCCCTTGCTGACCTGCCGTGTCCTCTCCTCTTTGTAGCCAATGAGAATGATGACTGCTCCACACTTACCAGTGAGATCATTGTCACCATGCACACTTTCCAGGATGTGAGTTGGAGCTGAGGGGCAAAGCAAGGGCAAGGTTTGGGGGAGCCCTGGGCAAAGTGGGCGAGGAGTCTGGTGCCCAGTAAGTCTGGCCTCAATCACATAATCAAGCAGGTGGGTGGCATTCTTCCAGGGGCTGAGACCACCTGGCCTCCAAGTTGCCCTCCATCCCTGACTCTCTTGTCTATCCACGGATGAATCCAGTAGGAGGGTAAAAGAACCAAACCCTCGATTAAGCCCATTTCTTAGCCCAGAGGAACTTGGACATCAGAGAAATGTGGTTTCTTTCTAGGCTGACTGTCTGCACCTAAGAGATGATATTGTGTATCTTCAGTGTGGAGAGCAGCTGGGGAGGGGGGAGCTTGAGTAGGTGGGATGAGAGTTAAATATCCCACTCTCCTGAGGGGGAAGAGTTGACATCAGGGTTGAGAGTCCTTGGGGAGCTGTGGTGGTGCCTCAGTGGAGAGTAGGCCAGTACCTCTCAGGTTGTCACCTGCAAGGAGGGACCAAGGGATGGAGGGAAGGAGGCACATGCCTGAGTTCAGTGTCCCGACCTTTGACTGACTTTTCCCTGCCCTGTGACCTCACCGAGACTTCTCCTGATCTCTTAGGCTGCACCCTCTTTGGCTTCATGTCTCAGCTCCCAAAGAGCTCAGTAGACAAACTTAAAGCTGGAAGTTCTGCGGTCAGAGGAGCAGAGGGGAAGGGACGCTAGGTGGGGCAGGGTTGTATCTCCTGGTAGAATAGCTCTGGGTGACAGGCTGAAGGATCTGAGGAATGGAGACAGGTTCTCCAGTTTCTTGCTCAGGGGAAGTCTCATGATCCCTAAGTGTGTTCCTGACCCTCTGCTGGCTCAGGGCTTGGAGACCAAGTACATGGAAATCCTCAGATTCCAGGCATCAGAGGAAGAGTCCTGGGTGGCTCCACCCCCTGTCTCTCAACCACCCCCGTGCAACAGGTGAGGTGGGGTTGCTTGGGCTACTGGTGGCGGGACATTTGGGATTCTCTCCCCCATCCCCGGCTCCTGCAGGGCATATCCACCATTTGGGGTGTGTGTGGAACAGACTGGGTTTCTCTGATCCTCCCCTCTGAGAATCCCACCTCTCCCACCCCAGGCTGCCCCCAGAACTCTTTGAGCAACTGCAGATGTTGTTGGAACCGAACAGCATCATGGGCAATGACTGGCGTCGGCTGGCCTCCCACCTGGGGCTCTGCGGCATGAAAATTCGGTAAGAGGGACGAGGTCTGCAGTTGGGAGAGGGGGGTGGAGTGGGGTGGTGGGCTTCTGGGACACCTTGAGGACTGCAGCAAGTCAGTCAGAGAATGGCTATTCCCTATCTTGTTCCCCACAATAGAGCAGCTCTTTTTGTTTATTACCATTTTCTCAGTATCTAGAATGATGCCTGGCTCATGAGTAGGTGCTCAATAAATATTTAAAAAATGAATCAATTAACTTATAAGACATTGGGTACATACTGAGTGCTTGACATGCTGTGCCCTGAAGGGTAGAAGGCAGACTATAAGATAATGTATACAAAGCAAGTAGTTGAGTGCCTGGTCTATGTTAATTCAGTAAATGTTAGTAATAATGCAGGCAATGGAACCATGGTCTCTGTCAACAGCAATCGGTAGGAGAACAATTCTGAACTAAGCTCTGGAACCCAGACTATGAGTGCAGTGGTCAGGAAGGACTTCACCCAGGAGATGGGACTAGAGCTGGACCCAGCTGAAAGCAGAGTGGATTTAAAAATCACCTGTTTGCTAAACATTTATCAAGTACCCACATTTATCAAGTGTCCTGGAAAACTATGCTCAGCATTGGAATACAAGGTGAATGAGACCTGGTTCCAGCATCCAGGAACTTACACCTTAGTAAGTGGTACAGAGAGCCTAAACAATAAAGGCAGGGTTTCTTGTACATATTTGTGTATTGTATATATCCACTGCTGCATAGCAAGTTGAGAACAGAGACACAACAGCTAAAGCAAGAAGCACGAAGACATGGTGTCGCTCAGACCAAAAGTCTGAACTGGAGGGTGCAGGTGGTCTCCACCTAGGAGGTGGGAATTAGGGCTTTAGGGAGGAGGTGGTAGGGAAGGGGGGAGCTGCCCCTCTGCTGGGAAGGAGTAGCACACCTGGTTGTGGGTGTGGTGTGCAAAGTGGGAAAGGGATAGGCTCAGAGCAGGAAGGTTTGGGATTGGGATTGGGAGAAAATGTCAGGAAAAAACAGCAACACCAAGTTGTAGATAAGTTGAGGGTCTGGAGTATGGGCTTGGCTAGTCCTGGGAAGAGACTCTGGAATGTTTTTGAAGAGGGAAGGGTCCTGGTGAAGCCATGGTTTAGAACAACTGTTTCCTCACGGGTGGGCATGATGTGGTGGCCTGGGGGAGAAGGAGGAGGAGGGGAGAGTATGTCTGGGGTGGGGGACGTGGAGAAAGCAGTTAAGATTATGGGAGATGGAAGCAACCCTAGAGGCCCTCTTGCCCAAGCTCCCGGTGAAGGAGGAAGAAACCGGGGTCTAGAGAGAGAAGTAGCCTTTGAGCCAGGATAATCGCAGGTCTCCAGGCCCCGGGCCCTCCCACCACCCCAGTCCCCTGAAGGCAGGTAAGAGCAGGATGAGGGCCAGAGCTGGGGGATGGGGTAGATCCGGCCACAGAGCGCCCACCAAGCCTGTATCCCGGCCAGATTCCTGTCCTGCCAGCGCAGCCCGGCCGCAGCCATCCTGGAGCTATTCGAGGAGCAGAACGGCAGCCTGCAGGAGCTGCACTACCTCATGACTGTCATGGAGCGGCTGGACTGCGCCTCGGCCATCCAGAACTACCTGAGCGGGACGCACAGCGGTAGCCCGGCGCCGGTCCGCGGGGGCGCCCAGGAGAACCAGGGCCTGGAGCTGGACGAGAAGCTCTGAGCACCCCCAGGCGGCGGGGCGGGCCGCCGTCCGCAGCACTCTGGGTCCCGGGGGTCCCCTGACATTGAGGAAGAATGCAGCTGGTGCTCCTGGTCCTGCCCTTCCATCTCATCAGAACCCTGCGACAGTGCCTGAGGCCACCGTGAACCCCGGGCGCGTTCATAGCCCGCCTCCTCTACAATTGCGACCCGCTTGGTCCTGCGAACAGGTCCCGTCCTGGCCGGCAGGGGGCGCAGGAGCCCAGCGGATGGTCAGGCCTGGCTGGCCTCCGGGAAACTCCTTGACCAGTGGGCTGGGAGACTGCCCTGTTGGCATTCCTTGCGGACTGGCCAGTCCCCTGGGATTCACTGAGCGCTTCGTGACACCCAGCATCGGAGTGGGTATCACGGGGAATCCTGGGATAGAGGAGATGGGGCTTGGAGCTTGACAAACCTGCAGTGCTCTTTTGGGAGTCAAGAAGCACCCACGGGCTGAGGGCCAATGCCAAAACGGCAGTGCCCTGTGGTTAGGACATGTGGGCGTGGGATGAACAGACGTGTTTTAGGAGCTGAGAGGGGAGGCAGCATAGTGTGGGCTGGAGCAGTGAGAAGGCTTCATGGAGGATGTTGGAGAGAGGGTAGGGACAGTAAGGAGTGGTTCAGCCATCTTTGGGTGGGGCCAGAAGGGGATGGTAACACTTCTGGCTTCTAACAGTAGAAGCCAGAAGTGAGCATGGGTGCTGAGGTGTTAAGGAGCTGCCTAGTGGTTGTGATGGGAGGGGAGGACCAGGGTTCAAGGTCAGCCATGCCTGGCTATCCACCCGTCTCCTTTGTCTTCCTTTGACTCTGCCTTCCCTTCCTTGCCTTGTCTTCCTCTCTCTCTGCTATTATCTCCATCATAAAACATCAAAATGGAAAAGAAACTTCAAGATGAATGTTCGTTCCCAGTCTTTTTAACTGGAATTGTGTGAGTTTTCAGTTTCTCTGACTTCATTTTGCTGTCACCATTTCGTGCAGCCTCTGCATCCCTGAATCTGTCTCCCTGTTACTCTCTGTCTTAACATCTTCCCAACCCTGCAGAGTCACTGTGCCTGCCTTTGAGGGTTTCCTTTACTCCATGAAGCCCCCTGTCCTTCCCCTCAGGCAGCTTTAAACCAATGTTATGTATCAAAAGCAATGAAAAGACCCTGGGCTACCCTATGAATGAGGGGGGAGGATTTTACCCCATGAATCAAGATCCAGTTTAGGGTCAGGAAATAAACAATGGGGATTAAAGAACACACCATTCCGTCAGTGAATATTTATTTACCCCCTACTATGTGTTAGACTCTGTATAGGAAAGAGATTAGTGGGCTGGGGCCTGGGAAGAGAATAAAGGATTTGACTCAGTTCTAGTAATACTTTTGTTTGCAAGCAGGTGTTGTTAATTTTTTTAAGGGCAGGCAATCTCTCTGGCAACACTAATGCTTTGCTTTTGTATTTAATTAAAGGATATGAAAGCTTTTTCTATAGTAAACAATATTGTATAATAAAATATGAAAATTACCTTTCTTTGTTATTAACTGTATTTTGCTCAAATTGATAAATTTGGATGTGGGTATGAATGGTTTTATTTGGTCAAATTATAGCGACGGGGGCTGGTTGGAAGGAAGCGTTTTGTAGATTGTGCTTCCAGAATGAAAACTGTCTGGGTTCAGAGTGGTAAATTAGGGAGGTTCACTTCCCATTCTGTTAGAAGTGAGCCTTCAGGGTGGGGCCCTTCCACCTCCTCCCTCTTCCATTGTGTCCCACCCTCCTGGTTGGTGCTTTGGCTTTCCTTGCTTCCTTGGCTCAGGATAGGGATGCTGAGAGCATCTTTCTTTCCTGGAGTCCAAGTCTCTTCCTTGCTCTTCATACCAGCCCAAGGCATCTTTATTTCGTGTTCCTCCCTACGCTGGAATGAATTATTTTAGGAGTTTCAGGTCTTCTGGAATTGTGCATTGAAGTCACAGGGGTTTCTATGCCGGGACGGAATGCCTTCTGACCCCCACTCTAATTCCTCAGAATGGGCTCCCAGTGCCTGGAAAGAGATGTTTGGAAGTCTCAGGGGTAGGTGGCAGGCTGCCCCATCTCTGGAGGATGGATCCTTCTTTTCTTAAATCACACCTGCTTGGCATGTATTTGCCAGCACCCAAAGTCAAGGGCTGGCGTGTTGGGAGTGTTGGGGGGAGGGTGTTAGGAGACTTAGCACTCAGCCCTGTCTCTAGTGCTAATTAGCAAAGCTCTCACCTCTCTAGCTCCAAACTTCATCATTCTTGGATGAAGTGACTTTACCTTTGGCCCTTTTCCTTGTAGGCCACCTGCCTGGTTCCTAAAACACTAAACTTGGGACTTCAGCTCTCACACATGTTGTAGAGCCCTCCTAAACTTCTTTGTGTGGGGTTTAGAGCTGGCAGGGGAATAAGCAGGAAACATTGGCCTAGGTCTGTAGGCTTAGAGGCCCCAGTATTCAGAAGTAACCTGTGTCTTCGGCACCCCATCTACCTGCTGAGTGACACTCACACCAATGTATGGATTCGTGGTGTCCAACAGCAATAAAAGGAAAGCCATATATTTGATTCTGTGTTTTCTAATAATCATACATGCAAAAAATGTAAAAAGGAACAGGTGAAGTCAGTGTTACTATATTTTGTTTAACCTGGTATGTCCAGAATATTATAATTTACCCATGTAATGAATATAAAAATATTAATGGCATACTTTACATTATTTTTTCATAAAGCATTTGGACTCTGGTACATAGTTTACAATTACAGCATTATCTCGATTTGTATTGAACATGTGCTAAATTTTTGTTGGAAATATTTGATCAATATTTAGCTTTCATAAAATTTACAACTGAAAAAGTATACTTTTGTAACAAGTTAAGCTAAAAGTCTTCCAAGAATGAAATTAGGTATAAATTTTAAAATGTAAATCAATTGAAATAAAATGAAAATTCAGGGACGTCTGGGTGGCTCAGTCAGTTAAGTGTCTGGCTCTTGATTTTGGCTCAGGTCATGATCTCAGGGTCTTGGGATTGAGCCCTGCATGCTTGACATTCACTTGACTCTCCCTCATGACATTCCCTCCCTCTCTCATGAACACTCTCTCTCTCCTTCTCTAAATAAATAAGTGAATAAATAAAATCTTAAAAAAATTGGGGCGCCTGGGTGGCTCAGTGGGTTAAAGCCTCTGTCTTCAGCTCAGGTCATGATCCCGGGGTCCTGGGATCGGGGGTCCTGGGATCGAGCCCCGCATCTGGCTCTCTGCTCAGCAGGGAGCCTGCTTCCCTTCCTCTCTCTCTGCCTGCCTGTCTACTTGTAATCTCTGCCAAATAAATAAATAAAATCTTTTAAAAAAAATCTTTAAAAAAATTGAAAATAAAATAAAAATACTGTTCCTTAGTTGTACTAACCACATTTCAGGTGGTTAGTAGTTAGGTGTGTCTACTGGATACTGTAATGAATAGCACAGGTCCAGATTATGGATCCACCTGGGCATAACTTTGGTGTGTACCTAACCATTCACTCATTCACTCATTCATCAAACATTTACTGAATACCTGTCCTACCCAAAATGTTGCTTATAAAAATTCAATGAAGAAGAAAACTCTTGTTCTCTAGAAGCTCCTGGGATGGGGGGAGTCAGAGAAAAAGGGCAACTTTCCCCCGCCCCCCCTCCCTGTGTGCACCTGACTCAAGAAAGAAGTGGGGGATAAAGCCTAGGTAGGGTTTGCAGCAGACTCCCTCTGTAGCGTGGTGGAGAGGCCATGGATTCACAGTCAGGTGTCCCTGGCTCGCCCAGCACATCAGGTGGGTTCTCCATTGCTCGCAACAGGATCCTCTCTGGCAGAGGACTGTAGACAGGGATTTAATCTTGAAGGATAAACAATCATTTGGAGGGCTGAGAAATAGGATTGAGGTGAAGTTTCCAGGAACAGTACCCTAAACTATGGTGTAGAATGAGCCCAATGGGGAAACCAGGGTTGCCATGGCTGGTACCACTGAGCACTGTGTAGCAGGAACCCAGCATGAGGTCGCAGCCACTTCTGCCAGCAACACTGTCTCTTCTCATTTGGGAAGCAGTCCTTACCACCACCCTTGAAGGCTGAGGTTCTGCGGCCGTTCACGTCAGTACACATGGAAGCTCCTTGCGCTACCTCCTTCTTCACGCCACCCATTTCTGAATCAGATCTCAAGTGGGGACATCAGACGGTCAGAGTTCAGATAACTTCCTGAATCCTAGCTGCAAAGGAATCTGAAAATTTGAATTCTGACTTTAATATTGGAAGGTAGGACTCAGTGCAAGTGAATACACCCAGATATGGAAAAAGCTACTCAAAAGTCTGGACAGGCATGAATACAACAGACGTCCACTATGGTGTGGTTAATGCTATGGTTCCAGGCAGCAAACTCTCTTCCCAAGAAAAGTCACACTCTCAGCGTCCATTGACCTTCAGAACCTTCTCAATAAAGCATGACTGCACACATCCCTTAGGATGGCTTTCACACCCAAATCTGATTCTGTGGTCTAGGATCAGGCCTTGACATGTTTCGTGAGTATGAAGCAAGAGCTCACCGACAGTTCTCAACTGATTTATTCAGTCCCTTCTGCAGCCCCACATGCCATCCTGTGCCACAGAGGCTGAAAACTGAACCAACATTTCCGAGACCCCCTTGGCAGATGGAGGTCCAGGTGTGTTTGGGTTCTGCCACTCAGCTGAACTCATGTAGGACTTTGATTTGGCATTGAATGAATGTTAGGAGTTGAGCAGGACACAAGGCTGGTGGTTGCTCTGAGGAGCTGAGGTGGCCCAGAACCCACCAGCTGGGGCAGCTGCTCCTGATCCAGTAGCTTCCTCAGGGGCCTGGTTCCGGGATGTTGTGGGGAGTCAATACTGCAAGTCCTACTTACAACAGTCTGTTCCTTCGGCTCTTCCAATGACTATCTAGCCTCATAATATATCATTTTGTGCTTAAACTCACTAGACAGAGACTCTATAATGTATGACTAAGATCCCTATCTAATGTGCCAATGAGTCTTTCTCTGGAAAGGCTTTCCTTCATTCTGTGATCATACCCTTCCTCTTTGCTGGTGTCAAAGGATCTATTATCTCCCAAGAGAACAGTAATGGAGAGGACAGTTTTATTAAAATGTCCTTTGTTGATTTTAACCTTCCCAATTTAAAAAACAAAACAAAAAAAATTTATTGGTCTTCAAAATACAAAAGCCTTGAAATACTCTTATAAGAACTGTCATCCTTATTCACCCTTTTTAAAGCCTTACACAGGTATGTTTATTTATCTACTTAGCACATATTTGACTAGTTATTATGTGCTTTGAATCATGGTGGACCCTCATTTATTTTCTTATCTGTAGGTAATCTTCCTCATGTTGACCTTATTCTAGCCTATGCTAAGTTTTTGTTGGTAGGGATGTTATGGCTCCTGGCCAAAAAAAGCTAACATCAATACTAGCCAGTTAGAGTCATAATGTCATAAAAACATTAGCCTGAGGACAGGAATATGCTTTAAATTAGCTATCAACCAGGTGGGAATAGATTTGTTTTTTCTCTCAAAAACTAGGAAAAATGCAATCATAAAATTGAGAATAGTATTTAGGAAATGCTGAAGTGAGAGTAAAGATGGGATTGTAGAAAAGTTCCTTAGTGGAGTAGAGAGTAGGGATGAGGATAGGGAAGGGCCTGACACCTGATCCATGGAGGGATTGGCCATTCTGTCCCTGGGAATCCCACAAAACATAAGGAGAGTGTGTGACAGAGAAAGGGACCCACTGA